CAGCAGTTAGTGTGCTGGTTTGTGGGGGGATTGTCCACACCAGGGAAATAATTCAAGTTTACAAGACCAAATTAGGGCACAGGTTTTATAATAATCTTTGCTAGTGACACACTATATGACCTTGGGTAAGTCCCTCCATCCATCTTTAAAGACTCTCTCAGAGGAGAGCCACAGGACTTTAATTAGCAGCCCTAAAAGTGCTCATAGTTTGTCTCTCTTCCAAAATAACCAACTGCATATGAATTGGAACAACCTTATTTTCAAATTCTGCAAGCAACTGGGATCCAGGCTGCTCTCAGATCAGTCACTTCAACAACATAATCAAAGTTAAATGTGCCAGCTGTGCATGAAGGGTTTTAATATGCTGCACAGACTGGAAAACAGCTCAAAGAACCAATGCAATTTTTCCATGGCTGGGATGTCAGTGTTGAGCAGCTGCATTATAATCATCCGCAATCAGCAAAATGCCTTTTTTTTAAATCACTTTGCAATCTTGGGGAAGAGGGCTCATTTTTATTTCTGTCCTACTTAGGAGAGCACCCTCGAGCCCTGAGGCACCCACTGCCAAGAGATCAGGCAGCTACTACAGCAGCGTGTGCCGATCAGAGACCTCTGGCTGCCCATGATGGAACCCCAAACACACTGACAGGCTGCTGCCCAGACAGTAACTGCTCACACTGACACCACCACCTCAGGAAACAGTAAGTGCATTTCCACAAATCCAGCAAAAATCCAGCTCCAGCTGCCTGTTGTCACACATTCAAGACCCAGGATGGTTCCAGAGCAGAGTCCCTCCCTGTGGAAAACCCAAGCACAGCTGAGCATCCTTCCCTACCTCTGCACAAGCACATGGGTCACAGCTGCAAGACGAAGCAAGAGGGGAAGTCTCCCAAACCCATCCTTTACAAAAGGCTGAACCTCCCTGATACATTCTACATATTAAACATTTACAAATAAAGTTTGGAAAAAATGACAGGAAACAGGCTGACCACACAAAAAATGCTTTCCCCTTTTAACTACTGAAGTGCTTTATAACCCTCGCCTCCTGCTCACCATCCTGCAGGGCTGTATTTTTCAAACAGGCACACACCATGAGGATGATTCCCAAACAGCTCTGTCCCTCCTGCCAGGCTGCTCAGCAGTGGTGAGTGGAGCACTGGGATACAGCAAATTGCCAGAGTTGTCCAATGTTTTAAGGGACATTATGCAAGACTGTTTGCATTAGAGGAGTGACAGTGACTGAAATGACAGCAAGCATATATAAAAGCCAAGGATCCAGCTACTTCCACTGCAGTTGGAGCTGATCCAGGACTAGGAATTAGCTGTGAAATTCCCATTGCAGATGTGAAGATAAAACTTCCCCAAGCTCTCCAAAAAAACAGATCTCCAGTAAAACTCTGATCAGAGGTTTCCATTTCACTGCCTTTCCCAAGCCAAACTATTCTTTTGGAATTCACCATAAATTGTTTGAGAGTTTCAGCCCAAGCTCAAAATCTTAAATATGCAGTTGTTTTGAGAGCTTCCCAACTCCTGCTTTGGGGCAATACTGTTTTCCTTACATGGTACCAGAAGTCCCCATTCCTGGCAAAGCCATGTGGCTTCCACTGCCTATGGAAATACCCTCCAGTGCATTTACCACGAGGCTGTACAACAGTTTAACTCCTTCCTTGGCACATTCTTCTTCTGAACACTCAGGAATCAGCTGTTCAAGGTACCAGACTGGTGCTACCAGACCCGAGAAGCATCTCATTGAACCACCTTCACAAGCAATGGCTGCTTTTCCCACTGACTCTTACCACAACTCCTGCCTGAACTCCCAGCTCAGGGTTCCCCTGTCATGCTGGTTTAGCCGCTACCAAGAGACAACAACAGCAACAAACACAACACAGAAAGAGAGAAGAAAACCACCAATGGATAAAGCCAAGCCAGCAGTCTACTTTCACGGATGAAACAACATGCTGGGTTGCAGCTGAAATGGAATGGAGAAGTTCAGGAAAGTCCAGCATTTTTTGTTTAGTCTGCCCTCCTTGAAATGATCACAAGATTCAGATTTAGAATACAGCTTAACAATTCCTGCACGCCACAAGATTGTTGCTAAATCCCAAGGCATTATTCTTCTCCAGCTTCTTCTCTTTCCACTTAAGACAGCCTTCAACTTGTTTTTGCAAACCTGAAAGCAGTAGCTCCTTTTAAATCCTCTGACTTAACATCCTTTCTTCAGATCTCTGCCAAACCTCCTTTCTGCCAGATTTGAAGTGTCTTTGGCCCTGTTTTCAGCTTAAATAGGTTGCACATTCTTCAAGACAAGTGCTCTTGAGTCCATTTGCTTAAGGTGTGATGCTGCCACGTTCCTAGTATGAAGCACTGTAGTTGAGCTTTGCAGTTATTTTTAACAGTTTGTTTCTGTTAGGCAATGCATTTCCTCTTGTATTTTTCCATCAGAAGTTCCTCAGTAGATTTTAAAGAACAGAACAAGCTGAAACAAACTCAATACCCTACACTGCTGCCATTTCAGCCAGCCAGTTTAGAGGCAGAACATGCAGAAAACTACTAGAGGAAAAAAAAGAACAAAAGTAGGGTTTGGGGGGTATTTTTAGTTTCATACAAAGGGAGACATCCAATTGCTTGACCACAGCAAAGTCAAGCACAGCACAGTAACAGCCTCCACAGTTATTTTGGAAGATAACAATCACTTTCTGATGCTGGTTAAACCTGGGCAAGAATACACTTGATAAATGCACTTAGCTTAGGAGAAAAACTCCTTGATGTTTATATAGGAAATAATAAAGATAACATGCAATGAGGTCCAGTTAAGAGAGGCTCAGAAAATGGAAGCAGCAGAATATATCCAGGTATCCAGACTCCAAAGCACCACACAGCCTTTCTACCCACAACAGGAAGGCAAGCACTAAATTTGTTAATCTTGATTGTTAAACAATGCTCCTTATAGGAGACACAGAGCTGTAATTTTTCCCCTAGTTCCCAACATTCCAGTTTAAATGTGGCACATTACTTCAACCTTAGGCAAGAGCTCAAAAATGTAAGTTCGAGGAAAGCACAAACAGCTTCCAATTCCTGTATGCATCATGGACCTGTCCTGTCTCCTGAGGAACACTCCTGCTGTGCAGGGGCTGTTGTACAGACTAGACAGGCCCTGTAAGGCAGCTGTGGCTGCTGGGTCATGGGCTGTACCAGGAAAGGCAAGGCCTGACACCAGCGTGACCCCTCCTGGCTGTCCCTGCAGTGCCAGCACAGCCTGGGGCTGTGTTTGTCCAAGGCATGTTCCACCCACATCCAGCACTTTGGTCTGTCTTACAGTGAATTTGCTCTGTTAAGATCCTCCTTAACCCGGCTCTGGAGCACTTTCTGCTTCCTAAGTGAACCATGTTCACATTGAGCTCCATGTGGAATTCAGGACTCTGCTCCTGGATCAGTAACTGTTGCTTCTCTTTCTTCATCTCTGCACTGACACAACTCCTGAGGATGGTACATCTTCCTTCCTCCTTATGAAAGACTCACATCCAGTTCACTATATAAACATAGATATGGTTTCTTCTCTTTTAATATTCTGACCCAAATTTCAACTTATTCAGATAAAATGACAGTGACGTAAAGAAAAATTCTCACTGTTTGTACTTGAATGGGATATTTTGTAGCTTCTGAGGCATAAGATTCCAAACGTGAATGAAATGCACCAGCTTCCTGTAGCTGATTTGGCAGCCAACTGCATCACACCCGAAGAGCAGGTTTACATACTAACGAGGTCACTAGTTAAAAATTCAGCCCCTGCTCAGACACGCTATGATCAAGTGAGTGCCTCTGGAATCAGGAATGAAAATTAAACAGCCATTAACTATATGGAAGAAAGCTGTCTCCTCTTACCACCTACTATTTCAAAAATAGCATATTACATGCAACTTGATGCATGTAACCAGGGCATTTTATGATGAGGTATGCACGGTATATCCGACCCTCTGCAAATAAAATCCCTTTAGAGTCCAACATGAGGAATGGGAGATCCATCATGCAGACAAACAGCTTCCATGTAAAATTTTGAAGGAGTAATCCTCCTTTGTGTCATTCCAAGGTACTTCTGTGGGTTTTTTTTAAAAAAAACATTCAACTTGTACAGATGAATAAAAGTTACTTCTAAGAGAAGAATGAGGGCACATCGATAGTAATGCCTCCCCCTGTGTCATTTCATTCATATACACTGTGACAGATTTGCTGTCGCTGGATTTTATTTCCTTCTTGCATTTCATTTCCTTCTTGAATTTCACTGGTGTAATCCCAATGGTCAAACTGCATCTTCCAAGGAGTCAATGCCACTGCTTCAGAGTGCATGGAAAAGATGCCTCACAGGCTGGCTAGTACTAAAAATACCAGCAGGAACAGAGAAGTACAAGCTCACCAGGAAAATCTGTTTCCCTGCCTGGCAAAGTCAACCAGAATCCATGGAATATTTGCCATACGAGGTCAAGAGCGCAAGTTAACACAAGCACAATTTCAACCTGTCTTCTAAAGAAAGCTGTTAGAGGATCAGAGGATGTTATGCGCGGACAACCAAAACCACACAACTTATCCAAAGAGCCACTTACTACTGGCATATTACTGGTACTGCTTTAAAGAAAATAATAATAATTACATGCTGGTGCTTCAGTCTTCTTTGTATGTTTTCTGATATATAAATCACCTTTGGAAAAAAAACAGTAAGAGGAACGGAGGAGGGGATATCAGCTCAGGTAACTGAGAGTTTGGTAAACTGGAACTTAGTGCCCCTAAAACTGAATAAAAATGTGCACCCCACAGAGGCCGAGCTGAGTGACACCTGGGCAGGTACTCCAGGTACAACCACATTCAGCAACTATCACCACAAGCTTTGTGTGAGGGTGCACAAGACCAGGTTCAGCTGGCTTTACAAAAATATCATCAGTCTGTTGGTAACAGACAACTGCAGGAACTCAGTGCTGCCCACTACAGACTCCTCAGATTAGCACTTCTTAAAAATTAATAAAATGGTTTATTTTATATATACATATGTTCCAAAAAATTTATACAGTTAAAATATCAAATTAGTGATCTGGTAACAATACTGTTCAAAATAATCTCTTTTGTATGAACATTAAAATACACGTTTTTAAAAGCGTTTCCTTTTAGTGCTTCCAAAGCACAGCGTGTGCCAAGGCCACCTGAAGAATCTCCGTCCTCCTCACAGGATGAAAGAGAACTGAAGTCGGGGACCTGGGAAGCCTCAGGTGCACTTTCATAATGTCTGCAGACAAAACAGAAGAGAGTCTGAGGTAGATTGTTTAGTGACCATCGGGTGGTAACAGTCACAGGGCTGTCTTTAGCTTTCATTAACACAATAGCAGTTTCTTTACTCTCAATCTACACTGAATCTCAAGTTTAAAGGCATGGCTAGCAGTTCTTGGGAACAAGACCCTTGTCTCTGTGGTGGCAACATGCAATTTTTACCAGTGCAGGTGTTTCTGGGAGGGTTTTTTTGGGAACACACGGGCTCTCTCCACGATGCAGACAAGTGTGTGCATTTGACAGTGCCCCATTTTAGTGCAACCTGCTGCCTATAGCACGTAAATGTCTAATGACAGCGTTCAAATGAGTAAATTCTCATCACCTGCAGGAGGGGCAGCAATGGTTATTTTCTTCCGCCTGTTGAGCAAACAGCACCCTCCACAGGAGAAAGCCACACCTTTCATAGCAAATCCTTAAGGTTATAGCCCAGCTTCTGCCGAATCAGGTTCTTAAAGTTAAAGCTCCACTGCTTCTTCTCAGACTGTGACAGTAAAATCACTTGACTGCCAAGATGGTGAGGGCAGCAGCTACATCCTCTTCCACTCTTCTGTGGCACAGCAAACTCATTCCTGGTCCGCATTCGTCTGGCTGGTACATTATTATCTACTGTTGACATGATTAACTCTGTTGGGTGGGCTGGTGAAATCTAGTTCCTCTAGTATTCTCTCTAAGTGTTGTATTAAGACTCGTTTTTTAAACCTACAGAAGAGAGGGGGAGAGTAATTTAATTTTTTTCTGCCAAAAATACAGTTGAACAATTTAAAAGACTATTCAGCCATGACAAATCGTAATACCAGAGGCTCTCTGTTTCCAGTATGGAGGAGTTTTCTTTTATTTCTGGCATTAGAATGGCTAGAAAATTTAATTTCATTTAATACAGTCACCCTTCCCCAACCCACCCAAATTTTCGGCTGGTCTTCAGTATCAACCCATCTCTGTAACTCACATTTAAATTTTAAGTAAAGACTATTTACACTCCACAAAAACATAACAGTATTTTGACCACTAAAACAACTATAATAATTGAAATATGCCAAAATAGAAAATAGAAAATAATAGTACTGGAAGAGTTTATGATTTACTACCATGACCTAAATTAATATTTAATTTATGACTCTGAGTCACTTATATCTATACAAACCTTGCTGCTTCCTTGATAGCAAATTCAATGAAATACTTCTGAATTTCCATAGGTCCTTGCACCTCCTCGAGAAGAGAGAATATTTTTTCATAATCTAAAAAGAGATAAAAATCCAAACCATGTATTAAAAAATCAATCTTGCAAATGCAATTTCACTTAAGCTTAACAGCCAAAAGGAAACCCAAAGCCCAGTTTCACGTGTCTGTGTATGGTAAAACACCTAAGGCAGAAAAACTCCCACATAAGCATTATGCACAGAACACAGGTGACAGAGTGATTTGAAGTGATACTGATGATCAGGTAATTCAAATGTGGCATCAAAGAATAAGGTTTTCTTTGAGAGCAGCAACTAGGAACATTTATCCTCAGAAAATGGAGGCTAGGTAGAGAAGCCTCCCACCTCCATGACCACAGTGCCAGCATTAGCAGTTAATATGCACAGGGTCACCAAGCCCTGATTTGGCCCAGAGCCATTGTTTCTGCAAGCAAAGGTCAGGATTAGTTCTCTAGAAGGACAAATAATCAATCCTTACTGTGAGCACAACATCACTATCTCAGTGGTACAAGATAAATATGTCCATTGCAAAAGAATAAACGACACGTTAAATTAAAAACAATTTAAATAATAGCATTGTTTCAACATTTCCACATCTGAATCCAGTATAAAGGTATTTATGGTGCTGTGACCAAGAGCCTGCTCAGAGCGATGCAGCAGGCACAGAGAGGATAAATGGTCAGAACTGTGGACAGTTGTACATAGTTAACCCACACCCACTGCTATTTAGCTTCTTTCTTCAATGACTGCCTGAACTCTGCAGCAAGGCAGGTGACTCACACTGAATACAGCACTGTTTTACTCTACACTACCATTTACCAGTCATGAATTTGGTATAAAATTAAATGAGCCCACTTTGCAAAACAGAAAGCAAAGACATCCCCAAGTAGGAAGTTTTAAAACTGCTTAAAAATAAATTACAGATGCAGCGTAAAAAAGGCTTCACCTCTCAACAGCCTCAGTGTGCCACAAGCAACACAGGATGAGAAAAGCAGAAGAGTTAAGAACACTCCAATATACTAATTACTGGCACTTGAGAATGGATTAGAAAAATATCCAGCAGTTTAGTTTGTAGAAATTAGTCACTCACAGACCACATTAGGGACAGTTGCCATTTAATAAAAATTGGAAAAATAAGTTACTGTGGCAAATCCTACAGCACAGACATTAACTTCAATGTTAGTGTTTTGGTTTTGATCCTGTATAAAAATACAGCCAAAACATGTAATAAAAGTTGAGGTAGCAAGATACTTTTTTCCACAATATTTTAGATTTTGGGGGGTTACCCAACCCTACAGGAAAACAGAAAAAAAGTCATTTTTAGTCTTTGTAAGTCTTAAGAGTTTGCAATGGTGTTCCATCACTAATTACAGTCTCACAAAATAAAAAAAAACTTCACTTTGCTATTAGCTGTTAATATTCCTTTTCAAACACATTCCAAGATGCATCCTTACAAGAGATATGCAAAGGAAGTTTTGATGGACACAGAGCAACAAGTACACTACAGATACAGAAGGAGCAGCAAAGTGTAAGGCAGTCTTTAGATCACTGACAACAAACACAAAACATCTAAAGGTGCTTTCACAGGGCACCTCTTATACCAGTTAAGGTGTCTTTGAGGGCAACCAGGGTGGCTTGGCACTTAACCTCTCAAGCACAAATCACCTTCAACTCACCTGCCCAGCATTTGTTCCTTTTCTTTGGCCCTCCACTGCTTACATGAGAGCAATCAGAAGTTACTCAAAATCCCAGAGCTAAGTGTATTCTGAAAATAGTTCCTTACTTCAAGGAATAACTCTTCTCTCTAACACCACATAAATATACTGATAAAATAAATAAACCCAAACAACTTACTTCTTCCAGGTTTGCGAACCTCTTTCATCACTTTGATTTTGATGTCAGCATTGCTTCCCTCCAGCATGGTAGGTGTTATTTTAAAGGAATTTGGCACAGATTCAGACGTAGATTCCACGGCCCGTTTTTGGTCATCTCCACTCACGCTGTAATTTAGAGGCCCTCGAACAAGTGCATTGGTACCAGGTTTATGATCCAACCCATCTTCACTCAAACAGTTGAATTCAACAGGTAGAGAGTCTAAGTCATTGGGTAGCATTTCATCCTCTCCCACAGCAGCTGGAACAGCAGGAGCCATTTGCACAGATAAGCCATCAATTTGTTTTTCCAGTGACTGACAATTTTCTGCTTTCTTCTCTCCATTGCCATCTTGGACAACACTGTTATTGGTATCTACAAATGAAGAACACATATCTTACTAATGGTATAAGTGAAGTATCAAAAGACCCAAAAAGAAACAGTTTGGTATCCTTTTTGTTTGAAGTGATGTGCAATGATCTGGCAGTGCTGGACAGTGTTCCAGCACTCTTATTCAACTTTGGATGTGATCAAGGGAATATGTCCCTTTGGGCTGTTACCATCTCATATCACTATCACCAAGTCACCATTTTCTGTATTCCTATTTCAATGTTATGACTCCTAAGTAAGCCAATATTTTTCTTCTCTCCCCCAAATCCAGCTAACCAAGTTTTCTTCTGACTTCATTTGCTGCAGCAGGTGGGTATGAAAATGAGTATTTTTGGGAAATGAACACGACCATATTTTAACTTTCCTTCTCCACAGAATACACAAACAAGAACTAAAAGCTGAGCTGAGCTACTTTCTACCTCCAGATTGTGTTTTTAATTTCAGATTTCATTAGCTCTAGCAGCAGCCTGTTTATCTGGGCCAGCAAAAGAAACTCATTCCTACCTAACACCGAAGCACAGGCACATGCTGAAAGATCCTTTTCCCTTCCTCTCCAGATATTCCCACCACACAAGCTGCTGCACTACAACTAATATACCTTTATTTCCTGGCACACCTTTGAGGTTTAGGTAGGAGGGGGATCCAAGAGCAGCTGGTGGCCCCTTCCCACCCACATGGTTGGTGACCACGGGGGGTGACTGTGGCCGTCTCAGCAGTGGGGACATGCTCCTCCTCCTCTTCAATGATGCCGGAGTGTTGGGCTCTCCAGGACGCTTGATCTTGTTCTGAGGCCCAGCAACAAATTCATCGGCTTCGTCAATCATCATACCCTGAAAAAAAAATAATTTAAATAACAGTACAGGATAGGATCTGTTTCATTAATTCACTGATGAACTGAGTCCCTCTGTGCTCAAATTCAAATGGCTTTCAAAACACCTGACAGCTCTCAGAACAGAGATACCCAGTGTAACCAGAGACAACCCAGGGCCACTCTGTAAACCAGCACGATTCAGTACAGGTTTCTCTAGGACCATGTGGAAGACATCCCTCCTTCCCACACGACAAAAGGCCGAACAGGTCAGCACTATATTGTTCTGGGGGAGAAATTCTACCCACAAATTATTTCAAGACATGTCAAATATAAAGACACAGCAGACAGCATGGCCCCTCCTACCTTCTTATCCTGTTTGAATGGATTGCCAAAGGTGTGAAGTCTTTTTGGTTGATCGGGGTCAATTTCCCGAAGAGGTGAAGGCAGCATTTTCAGGTATTCCTGGTAATTTCCCATCTGAGCAACAGGAACACTGTGAAGGCAGTCTGCAACAGAACAAGAGCTCTTCATTTAGTCTACCTTAAAAATAAGGCAATACAAACTTCACACCCTTCAATTGCAAGTGTTAGCATTTAAGAACTAGAAATGACTATTTGTTTTCACTACAGAGGAAGAGCTAAAGACTACAACTGTGGAAATAAGGCTGGCAAGAGCTGAGTTTAATTGGCAGAAGAAGAAAGGAAAAATAAGTAGATTTGATCTCTATGCTGACAACTGCATCTTTAGACCATCAGCAAAGTGAGATCCTCTCTGCTTTAAGCCCCCATTACTACATAGAACATGAACCCTGGTGAATGGGAAAGCTCTCCCATCAAACTTATTTTTAAAATTCAGAGCAAGCATGACATCTTGCATGACAGAAGGCAAAAATGTCCTTCCTTCCCCTTCAGAGCCAGGCAAAGGAGACTGACTCAGCAAGAGATGCAATGGCCACCTCTGCTCCCACACCAAAGGCAAAAAACACTATTTAAAGAAATAAAAAAAAAAAGCTGTACTCTCTCCAACCTATTAATGAAGAACTGTAACTCCCTACCTTCATCCTGCCCCAAGATAAGCCTGTGTGTTTTCAGAAGATTGGTTCTCATTCTGGTTAGCTGGTCTAGAAGACTGCGACGAGGAATATCATATGCATTTCTGAAGGCCTGTGGCTTCAAATCCTGGTTTTATAACAAAACAAGTAACTTTCAGTTAATCCATTAGTTCTCATGCATGGAGAAATTCCATTATGAACTGTAATAATGTTAACTATTAAAAAATACCCTTAAGTAACTTCAGAGCTTCATAACTGGATACAGCAAGCTCAATGGTTGTCTTTTCAACAAGACCTAATTCAGCATTAGTTTGAAATTTCAGCTCCATTAAGACTAAGCACGTTAATTCCTGGATGAACACCACTAGCTGTCTTTTGCAAATACTGGCACTTAGAACACAGTAATCTTTGTTTACTATCAAAGGATTTTCAAACAGTGTCGCAAAATCAAGTGCAAAAATTGCTTTTACTTGTCTCCCTATTTATGCCTACGCTGCACTTTTCACAGTTCAGTAAAGTACTTCCTTCTACACCAAGTCCATGGAAGTTACCCATTTAAAACAGATAAGATTAACTGCTTAGTCATGCAAGATTACTGTGCTGTTTACCTTGTTTAAAAGTCCTATGTGGAAGCCAGCAAATTCTTTAACATTCATTTCCGCCAGTCTCAGTGGAGATTCCCCAGTGATCCCTTGCAGCAGTTGCTTAAAGTCCCTACTGTGTACCAAGGAGAGGCCACTGGAGTGATTTTTCACTTTTATTCCAATTTCTTGTGGAACTTTCTTACCCACTGAACCTATTATCCGTTCCGATTCTACTTTTGTCTAAAATGGAATCACACCATGAGTTAAAGAATCAGCAGGCATTGCACATTTCCAGTATGAAACACACAGTACATTAGCAGAATAAAACTACAAATTTAGTTCCCAACTACCTACCCAGGGATATACTGGATTACATAGATTAGATCTCAAGCATAAAGAAATCCTAACGTGCTAGCATTTGGAAAAATATTTAGCCAGTGTATCTAAATTTATATGCCAGTAGGAGGCCTGTGAAAATCCCTGCTTTTGCTGCAAGACTGTGACTCTTTCGTGTCTCTGAAGAATCATCTTTAAAGGGAAAGAAAAAAACATACTGGAATGTAGGATGCCTTAAGTTACAGTAAAGTTGCATCTAAAACAACAGTATTGTTCAGGTACAGTAACAAAATTTCAGATTATTTTTTAAACAACCTGTGTACTATGGGTTGCCCTGTATGTTTGCAACAACATAAGGGAGAAAAGTTGTAAAAGAATTTTGCTTTATGAGTAAGCTTCTAAAAACATATCACTTCTCCAATGGGCACAGATTTCTTATTATAGCTACAGAGAATTTTACTGTATTAAGCTCTAACTGTATTCAAAGCAAGACTATTTTTTTCACCCACTTGCAATAATACCTCCAGAAAAAAACCCCAACCAACCAAAACCCCCAAACCCACGGTGATTGCAACCCACTTCCCCCAGATCTCCTCCTCTGCACCGTTTGCTTCATTATCTGTGGGAAACTCTGAATTTAAGGACAGCAGGAGCACAGCAGAAGTCTGGAATTGCCTGTCCCTACACAGGAGCTTATAATGCATTCAACACATTCAAACTGTTCCGTGTGCTGAGAATGCCTGTGAAAGCCACAGCAGCCATCTCGAGTCATTCCAACTCCACAGTACAGATAAATAATATGAATTTGCATATCATTAAGTTACCAAAATACCACAGGAAGTTTTAATTAAGTCTAGTAGATGCTCAGTCATTCAGAGGCTTTGGGATATGTTTTGTGCCTTCTTTAAGGCGGAGGATTTTTTCTTTGTAATTTTAAAGGCTGCACTTGTTCCTCACTGACTTCTAGACATTAAAATACTGTTTTAAGAGCCACTCATGTTAAGGAAGAAGGGCTTCCAGGCAGTTATACCTGGAATGGCAGTCTTGACAAAGATAAAAAGACTATTTCCCACCAGGTCACACTTTAAATATAGAATGGATTTGATCTGATGGAAACAGGAAGGTCAGATAGAAAGCCTGAACTATGATTTTATTCTCCATGGACAAGAATGCACAATTTTTTTGGAAAATGCACACTGCCAAGGAATACATGGAAATAAACACGAGGCTGAGGGCAAGCCTCTGACTTCAGCTGTGAAGAACAACAGCAAGAGCAGCCACAAATCCAATTAGTGATTTCCTATGAAGTTTCAAGTCTAGCAGATACTTGAAGTATAGCTGAGGAGGTCCTCATTGCACTCCCCTTCACTGCTTACAGAAGGCACAATCACTGGCTACAGAACCACACTGGATTCACCCATATTTTCAGTGGAAATGCTCACCAATCTTCAATTATAATATATGCTGCACACCCATATGAACTCCCACAGGGATTAGCTGCTTTATAATCAGATTACCACAAACTAAATAATCAACGCACTTCTAATTGCAAAGGTTTTATCAATACTACCTGTTGGCTGAGTTTTTTAAGGTAAGAGATAACACTGTAACTAAGTCCACAATCTAAATTATCTGATATCAGATTTGGAGCTCCCATCATCCTTAGGGCTTTCTTTAATGGCTATAAGGAAAACAAAATACACAATAGTAAGAGAATAAGTATTTAAAAAAGAAATTTATAAGCTCAATTACAGGAAGCTAAGGCACACAGATTAGTGCTCTAGCTTTTCCACTTTTGGCCACTAAAATTCAAGTCTATTCAGATAACATGTGACATGAGTTTGGTGTCTAACTAGCTCACAATGGACGTTATGCCACATCACCAAGACACCACACACCGTGGTGCCACTGGCAATTTCCACTCAAAGGCTCAGGTCCAGAATAGCCGGGATGATGCAAGTCCATATTGAGGTGCATTGTCCAAGCTACATGTAAAAGGTGACACAGTGCCTCCCCCCACCCCTTATTTGGCCCAGCTTCCCAAGTTCTAGCAGTTCACCCACATTAATAAACAAACTAATCCGCATTTTCCTCATCAAGTTACAAAAATAATGCCAAATTTGGGGTCCCTCAACAATCTAAAGTACTTTTGATAAGAGCTCATTTAATATTTAATGAAGAGGAAACACATTTAATATCTTAACATAATTACTATTACTCAGTATTTCTACAAATTTATTTATTTCTTAAAAATGTTTGACCTAATCTACATACCTCTGCAAAGCAAAATGTTTACTACCTAAAAATGTCATCATAATTACATAAAAAAAATTTACTAGGAAGAGGTATGATGCACAGGACTCTGGTCACACCAGCCATTATACCCGGGAGGATGAAATGAGAAGAGGAACATACCAGTAAGTAGTAAGGAGGCATTGTTTTTAAGTAGTTGTCAAAAGCCTGTCGCCACTTCAGATTTGGCTTAAGTTTGTGAACCTTAAACAAGTCATCTGCAACAAGGAAAACAACAAAAGAAGGTGTCATTTATACAGTCCCAGACCATAAGCTTTCTCCAAAATTGCACGTGCCACGTTTCCCCCCCCTTTTTTTCTCCCTCCACCCATCTCCCAATGGGGCTTTCCCACAAAAACTGCTCTTAACCATAGGTGTGAAGGATTGGGAATCCCCACCCTAGCTGCAGTAGGCAGTCCAAAGCAAGTCCCCATTATAAGCAAACTTACAAGGTACATCAGACTTAAACACTGCACACAACCACCAACACGGAAGGTGCAACAGATCCACCTGTTAAGATTTTCACCTTCCCTGCCTCTCTCTTGCATCAAAGGAGTCCCTGTATCTGATTAAACCAAACAACATTAATTTGGTTTAATTTTCATTGTCAGACCAGCTTTCTTCTGTTCAACCTGTATGATGAATTTTGGTCTCCGGTAAAGATATTGTTTGGCATCAAAGGGAAAGGGGAAAACAAAATATCAAATCTGGGAATCCCTCTGGCCAGCTTTGCTGAACTCTGCTGCCAACAGCAGCAGCTGTGCCCTGGCAGAGAAGGGGTCTCCTCCAGCCACAACACCTGCCTCATGCCAGGGCAGCAAAGTCTCCCACAGTATAGACAAGAGACAGTAAATACCTACAGAAACTGCTGCCCTTTACAAGAGGGGCAACCAGACATTTATTTCCTCTGGATACTGTTTTAGAAGCACCGTGCTCACACCAAAGGTGTGTATATTGCCATTGAGGATCACTGACCACCTATTTGCTGTGCACACTATGTACTGCAGCAGTGATCTCTAAAAATCAAACCCAAACACAGTATCTTGCAATTTATCATTTGAAATTATGAACTGAAATAAAGGAGTTTTTTAGTAGGGTAGTATGCTGGCAAACTGAGGCTAATGGAAGGATACGCAGGACTGGAGAAAAGGATGTCCAAAAATTAACTGGGAAGAGCTGCAGGAGACAGAGATGCACAGAAGAGTGCACAAAAGACAGATGCAGCAAGGAAATTGGTTTCTCCAGAGTGAGCTTTCAGGAAGATATATTTGTAGAAGAAAATTTGACTGGCATAGTATTCTGCACAAATCAAACAGATAGTACAGTACTATTTCCCAAGTTCTCACAGTCAAACCACACTGCATTACAGGTATTTTCCAATCTAAATGAATTCTGAATCACATACAAAAACCACACTACAGATCCTACTTGTACTTCCCTGACCTGAAGGAAGTGGGGTGGAGTTTGAGAGGACAACTCAGAATTCCATTTAAGATCTCAATATACCACAAGCTTAGCACTATTACCCAAAAGAACCTGTGATGGTATCATGACATATGGCAAATATAAAATAACATCCATTCTTATCTTACAGGCCTATTACCTTTTCGCAGCAAAATGCAAATTAAACTACATCCCCTCCAAAAATTCAAAATGAAAGAAAAATTAAAATGTAAAATGATCAGTATTAGAGTAGGTCCTAACATTTTACAGTCTATGAGTTGATTGTGAGTACAGCTTGAACCTTAACCCCTTTATCAGCACTTTATTACTGTCTCACTTCCTGCTCTGTGAGGTTGTACCAGTAACTGCACAGGCACCACCCTCATGCTCAGCTGTACTCCCAGACATCAAACATCAAACCTCCCTGATCTCTGCTACCCAAGAAGGAAGTTCTCCAATCTATGTAGAGCTTCAGTAAAGATTTGTCTGTTTAAAATTAGTCTCCCCACAGCAGGAACACCTACCCTGGGAAGGGTGACAGTCACGGTGGCAAACACAGCCACAAGTTTCATTTATATAAATAAGCAAACTAACAGTAACCAAGTTAACTATGTATTTTGCAGAAGAAAAGTATAAAGTATTGGAAAAAATCCTTACATAACTTTGTTTTATTCCAACCTAATAATTTTCAGATTCTACTTTCTGTATGGTCCTCTTAATGCAGAATTTTTTACTTCTGAACTCAGAGGGAGCTAAAAGCAATGGATAATCAGGAACATGGTATTAAAAACCACTAGGGAAGGGCCACAAGCTGCAACAACTCAAGAGATCAGGTAAAATCACACAGCAGTAAACTGAAAACTATGTTGCAAAGTCTTTATCCACTTCAGATTAACGTAGGAAACAACGGAATGGTGACAAACAGGACAGCAATACAGACCTTTAACATCCAGCACTACAGAAGGGGACTGGATGTACCTTTAAGATCAGTGAACAGTTAAAAAAAAATTGCATGAGAGGGAGAAGAGTCAGCAGGTAATTTCAGTAGTTCAGCCGGAGCCTAAATTACAAGAACAGTTCATGCATCATATAACTCAAAGTAAAACTTGACCCTTTTTTTAAAATTACCACTCATATTGAATTCCACCTGAACAAGTACACCACCATACCCTGTTGACTCCTGTAATTCTCCTAATTATGCACCAATAGATACACTCCACTGCTCTAAGCAGTAGAGACTCAGGATTTTACATTCACAGAAAGCAGGATCCTTCCCTGCAAACCACCTAGCCAAAAATAAGGCACTGCAATGGAAAACAGCATTCAACATCAAGAAAGGTATTGTGGCACTCTTTCTCCACTGATACAAAATGTTCAGCTCTCCCTCCCAGCACAGTGTGCTGTGTTCATGCTGGTGAGAAACACAGCCCTTCGCTTCCAAAATATAAAATCATTACTCGCAGGTTTTCTCACAGAGCCTGTAAAAACATCAAAGGAAACTGTCCACATTGCAGCCCTTCACAGGCAGACATTTTTTAAAAGCTCATCCTCCTGCATATTTAGACCCACAGAGAAAGGGTATTAACCATCTTCTGATGCTATTTCATAATGGCTGTTCAGGGCTGCTTCTGCTGGCACTCCCAAAGAACAGTCACTCCTATTGCCCAGCAGTGCCTGCCCTCCCACCAATGCAGCTAAAAGCAGCCAAGGAAACATCTTAGGCAAGGCAGAAGCATTTAGAAATATGCCTCATCTTTGCTCAGCTCTCCCTCAAGCACCTCCTTCAACTTTCTACTTTATGAACTTGGCTGTGCAATTAAGCAGAACAAAACCTGAAGTACAACAGCTTTGTTCGTATCAATTACAGGCAACAACCCTCCAAGAGGAATTTCTGTAATCTGTGGGCCAAGCACTCAGCATCAAAGCACATCAGCATCCCTCTGTGAAAAGTTCTGCCTTCAGCAGCTGCCTTACACTGCACAAAGAACTGCACCCCACCACCTCAGGCCTGGGAGCAAACTCCCACCAAGCTACTCGTGACTCCTCTCCAGCCTTAGGACAGCACAAGGGAGCTGCTCAGCTGCAACAGCACATCCCACATGGTCTGTCACTGCTGGGAATGGACCAGAGAGCAGCATTTCTGTGAGACAACCCATTACATGAAGGCATGAGTCAGGTTAACACATGGCTGTGTGGCTTCACTTTTTTATCGAGTCCTATTCACTGGATCCTTTCCCTACAAAGCTTCAGATTCTAAAAGCAGTCCCTGTAAGTTACAAGCCAGGAGAGGCGACAGCATTCCCAAATCCACTCTTGCAGAAACCAAGACATAGAACCAGCAAAGCTTGCTTCAGTTTGCTCAAGTATCACCTGCAAGCTTCCTCATCCCCACCTACCTTACCTGTCTCTTATGTTATTTTTCCTAGAACAGAACTAAAACTCTCCCTGCTCAAGAATGTAGGAGGAAAAACACAAGGAAAAAAATTCTTAAGCATCTTACTATCTATCTCTGTTTATAAGATTGAACACACATAAGTCACTTGACAGTACAAACATACAGCTGTAAAGTGGTTCTGCCTTTGACAGAGTCAGAGAAGGAGTAGAGATATTACCCACAGCACTACCCCAAACTAAGTCCCAGTTCTCCAACACAACATTCTACCAGCAGGGCAGGAGCCACTAGGAACACACTGATGTGTCAGTATGGGTGGTAGTGGCTGAAAGGAACAGACTTCTGGTCTTGGGAGTTCTCATGTCCTTTTTAATCTGGGTGAGAGTAATGAAAAATTGGTTTTACACACTCAAATCAGTCCTCTGCTGAACCATCAGTATCCAGTATTGGTATGTATTGAGACAGACACAGGGGGAGTGTGCCTGAAATAACAGAATCAATCCCTACTTATCTAAAGAGACAAACCCAAGTCAGTATTATTAAAAACATCTACATTTACCAGTTATGCTCTTATCATCTCAGTCATTTTCTGTACTGCTAAGTAGAAAAGGCCCAGATCTGCTTTCATGTTGTAGGTATATTCCACAGAACTTAATTCCACCATGCCTTAGAGACCAAGGATAAACAAAGTCCTAGAAGGAGACCTGAAGGTAACATTGTGTAATGTGTTTGTGTTAACAATATGGAATGCACAGGGTTTGTGCTCTGAAGAAAACATCCGCTCTGCATTTTCCTTTTAAACAGCCTTCAGAAATTTAAGATGTGGGATTACCAGGTGAGTAAACTGCAGGATAGCTCTACACACACTGAAAAGTGTTTTTCCTCCAAAGAGTGGGAAGAGCTTTACACCCCTGCAAAAAAGGCAGGGGGAAGACAAGAGCTGGCAGGGAAGACACAGCAGAACTGCAAATGTCAACATCAAAATGAGCAGAGAAATTAATTTAGGATCAGTGATGGCTTTTCAGCTAGTGGATCTGCTGCAGTATTTCAGGAGACACAAACTTGCAGAAACTCCATTTTAATCTAGAAGTATCCTTGCACACTGCGACAATTATCAGGCTACACAGAGAACTATAAAAGACACATTATCAGCAAGCACAAATTTCTTCTTTTTTGGTTATGATCAGGATTATGAAAAAACATTCCTGAATTGTGTTCTGGGGTGTTTTTTTCCTAGAAATGAATGGAAAAATCTTGAGTAAGACAGTAAGACTCAATGTTAATTCTCTTGATCACTGTTATTCTGCATCACTAAATACCTGCACAAAAATTAGAACAAAAAAGCCTTAGAGCATCTGCAACTAAAAGGGCTGGTGGCACCTGGAAACTCCTGTCTGCCACTGCTTTTATGCCACATCCCTAACAGCCACAACTACTGTGGCAGTTACTCACACAGCACCTTTTCATACGTCTTTCCTCAGAAAGTGATTTCATTGTGGGAGTGAAAAAAAAAAAAACAACCTGGTCCTTAGGGCAGGGAAGAAACGCAGACTGTTTCACTGCTCAATTCCTTCTTAGTGCTCTAAACTGCATTAGGGAATTCCCTCTTCCCAACACCCGTGGCAAACACTGCATCTGATCTTCCAGTAAAAAATAAGCTGCTACAAGAGCAACTGTAAAACCTGGATACACCACACCCTAAACGAGGGAAAAGAATGGAGGTTGAAGCTTACTCCAGGTTAAGGAAGAGGCTACGTGTCTAGGAGGTGAACAGCATCAAACATGCACTGGAAGCAGGTAGCTCTCCTCCTCTGCTGGAGAGAAAAAAAGGGAGAGGGGGTATGAAAATCCTCTCCTCCCAAATTACGTTAAAAGAGTTTGCAACATTCTCTACTCTCTGATCTCCATTATTTTATAACGTCTCAAACTAAGGCAGACCAACCATTATTGTTTTGCTTTTACTCTGAAGCAGCTGCATTGGCAGTCCGAGGCAAATTTGTTACCTACCCAACAATGGAAGTAACACAGGGTAGTTGTAAGGCATCACAAAGAGGTTTACACAGGTTAAAGTAGTGCTTGCTTTTAAATACCCAAACGGGTGGCCAAGTTCACTGTATTTTCCACTGCTACTCACAAATACCTGACAAGGAATAAGAGAGATCACAGTATTAGAAGAACATGAAGAATATAAAGCATGGAGCATTTAAAAATTCAAACTAATCCAAATCCAAGTGTATTAAGACAGTAAATTACCAACAACAGCCAAGTCCTGAGGTTGCACACATCAGGGTGACAGTGCACTTATATTCCCCAGTCACAAAACTGAGGCATGCAAGGTTCAGTGTACCCCCAGTCAGTGTGGAAATGCTCTTCACAGAGTCATCTTTAGTGCTTTAGTAAAACGACTGTGAAATGATACCCTGAAGAGTTTCTGATATTATTTATAATAGGTTAGGGGACATTTGTTGAAGGCATGTTAAAAGAACAAGCTATATGGAATTAGTCTTCTGACTCACAAAATAGCATAACTAAAATTAACAACATTGATAACAGAAATTTAAGAATAGAAATTAAGCAAAACAAGCAAACATTCGAGAAATGTCTTGATTATGCCCAGTGCCAACAATCTTAAGATTGACTTCATTTTTTTAAGTGCACACATATGAGGTTATTAACCCTGAAAAGCAATACATGTAAACAACTCTTTCGACAGGATAAAGATGGTACATATTCTTAACTGAGACAGGCAAAATAACCCACATCTAATGCAAAAATAGGTTTCCTAGAAAAAAATAAACCTTGCAGTACATAGCAAGTATTTTTCCTGTTTTTTTCAGGGCATAAGGAACTGGGTTTGTTATACGGTTTCTATGACAATGAGCCTATTTCTCTAATCTGTAGGGGTCTGATGTGTAGCTTGGAGGAGAAAAGCAGTTTTTGAAAACCAGGAGAGTAATTTTAGAAACTCAGGCAAATAAGGTATCTAGGAATGTTTAAAAGACATTTTTTAAATTAGTTTATTAAAAGTAACTTGAATTTTTCTTCTGAATATGTGTGTTATATTTTCAGTTAAACTGTAGTATTTATTAGGGAAACAAAAACAGAGACATCTTCAAACCCATCTTTCCAGCTAAAATATCATACTAAAACTTCTGATGTACACATTAAGCTATTATTTACAAGAACACCACTGAGAAGGGAGTTACAAGCCTTATTTTATAGAAGATGCAGAAACTTATAAAAAACTACAAAAGGAGCACATAACAAAGGATTTTAGCAACAGAACTTTGACCTGTCCAAGGCCAAACCAGTCAACAGGATCAACAGCTTCTATTCAATTCCCATTAACAGCTTCAACCATCTAGTGAGAATTATTTGCAGCTGTTGATGAGGTAACATGATGGAAACCAGTGCTTGATTTTCCCTGTAAGCAAATGAAAGCCTACAGAGAACTTCAATTTAGCAAAAAATGGAACCTGAGGGACACATTTCTTAGCAAAATGAGATGGACCTAGAAAGTGAATTAAATGAGATTACAAAACCTGTGGAGGGAACACTCATTTTGACTCCTGATAATTCTCTTAGAAAGGAGGTAAGTGAAACCTTGACATGTTTCTTCTCATCAGCTGCAGAATCTGCAACCAGACCCCAATTCTCCAGGCTTACAACGACCGAAGTACCTCAGATCACCCATTACATTTCTAAAATCAAATAAAGGGCAAGTACCTGCCAGCAGGTATGGGGAGACTTTCGTTCCAAGATGTACTGTGTGAGGGGAGAAGGCTCAAGCTCATACTTGTCAAAAGGAAGTTTGTCTATTACCATGGGCTCACAATCCACACAGGAGAACCTCACCACGGGGTGAGCTGTGCGTGGAGGCTGAAAAGAAGGGAGAGAAGTGTATCAGCTATCACTTTACCACCCTATATGGCTAAAACTCTCAACTTTCCACAATTTTCTTTAAAAGAGAATTGAATACAAGCTCCCACAACAGAAAAAAAAAAGCTCATACACTGATACAAACATTCTTCCCACTAAAAGAAAAACAGGGTTAATATTCCACTATTTATCTCGATATTTAAAAGCCTTCATGTCAATCAAGCTATAATAACATAGACAGGTTTAAGGAAAACTGCAACTCTGCTTCCCAGTTTGATGTTCGTAGAATTACAGATGTGAAACTGCACTCAATTCACAAGGGATATCTCAAGATATTCCCTATAAATCTGATTTTTTTTCTCTTGATTCAGGAGGCAAGAGGAGAGGGAATGGACAGAGAGTACCTTGAGCACTTACAAAGTGCAGGAAAAGAACATGCCTAACAAAAGAGAGATGCTTAGAAAGACTAGCAAGGCATGCCAATTGTATGATCATTTCATTAAGAAAAGCAGAAATGAATACTGTTTTCTCCTCATTTTCTGAAGGGAGTAGCTCTTCTGTTTCTGTTTTAATTCTTCCTGCTAGTGAAAGAAGAGTCCACACATGAAGTAATACTAAGCAGAGAAAACATGGTTGATCTTATTTCAAAAACAAATACTCCTTTTTCCACATAAGTGAATGTTATAAAGCTTTGATTAAAATTTAATAGGCTCACTATGATTTGTGGTACGTGAATTAACTCACAGTTAAATTTTATAACCTTTAAAAACCATTCACCAAATTAACTAATCACATACATTCCAGATGCAAGAAGCATCACAGGTTACAGTATCCTCATCAGATTACACCATTTTGTGCTAAAACCAGTTTTAACCTTTTAAAGCAAAGTCACATCATATGAGTAAACAGAGAAAGTAAAAACTACTGCAGTATCCATTTTCAGCCTGTTCAATTACTAGTGCAGAATCCTTTTTTTCAGTTCTTGTTTTACTTACCAGTGTTGGTGAATTCTGATCAGGCCAAAAAGATTCTGGGATTGGCCAATGCCCCACAGGAACCCCCGTTTTAGGGTTAGGCCGTACATAAATGAGTTTATGACAACTATGCCACGGCTGAGAAGCAAATGAATTGATGGGCCTGGATGAATCAACAAGTCCATCTAAAATTTAAAGAAAGCAAAATAACAAACAAAAGGAAAATGAAAAGCTACATGCATGCATTTTTCTGCTAGCACAATTTCTGTATTAGCAGCCAATAAGGCCTTTCAATACTCTTTCAGAGACATACAGATCTTTACATCAGAGGCTAAAATAACCTACACATCCAGGGGTGTGACAGAATCATCTGAGAAACAATGGTAACATTTGCCCAGATCTACCCTTCTGCTCCCAAGGCCCAGCCATTAGACAGTGAGTGCAGCAAGACACACTCACACATTACAGAAAATGCATTTGCTTAAGCCCAGTGTCTGACACAGATCTGACAGGCAGCAGCAAGTTACTGCTTTTAGTTCTGCTGCAACCAAAAAGGCTGAGAATTTCCATTTAGTCTTTCTACATGGGCTGCAAAGCTCACTGACTGATGCTGCCATTAGTAGAAGCTGAAAGAGGAGGAAAGTTTCATGGAGAAGCTGGATGCCATCTTACAGGAGCAGCTTTTGTCATATTTTTAATTAATAACAATTCACAGATAACTTAAACTCCAAACCCTACTGGAAAGACCAGTGTTCCCTGCCAGACCACTGCAGTGCACTTCATGCTGAGGACAAGGAATTTTGCAGCAGTACAGAATGTGATTATTAGTTTTCAAAGACTGCTCATCAAAGCAAACAGCACAGCAGAGATCACCCACTTAAACAATCTTCTTCATTTTAAAAAGATTTTACAGTACTAATTTTCCTTGCTTTAGAGAGCTGGCAAATAATACTATGGAAACCATGTTTCAGGGAGAGGGACACATCAGTTTGGTTTCTCTGCATTACAAACACAGTGATTTTTATAGCTTTGGTAAATCCCATCGTATTTCTCTGTAGTTTAGGACTTTCCCAATTCTCATAGAGATGAAAAGTCTTGATGTTTTTATACATTCCTATCCCACAGTGCATCACCACTCAAATGGGACAAAAATCAAGCAAACAAAGAAATCCCATATTTCACCAGGTTTTTTGCCACATGAAGAGAGCACTTGGGCCAACAGAGACACAGGAATTTGCCGCCGTGTTGTCCTGCACAGCATTACAGGAAAGCCTCCCAATAAAATGACATTTAAATAAGCAAAAGAAGAAAACAAATACAGAGAAAGGTGATTCCAAAATGAAAGCAGGAATAAAGCTGGCTGTGCTAGAATGTCCAGGTGATGCTAAAAGCATTTTTGATATTCCAGGACCATCCTCATTTCCTAAATATGAACTGGTCAGCTCTGTCCCTTTCCTTTCAGCCATGAATTTCTGCAAATCTGAGAAGTGCTCCACTTTAAGAGTGCACCTTCCTCCTCCCTCTTACCAGTAGCAAAATAATTCCTTGTTCTTTGCACACAGTTTTTCACTTACAGTTGAGAACATTCAAGTTACTGTGCTGTGATCAATTAGCAGAATGAAACCGCAGAGAAAATTGAGCATTAAAATTGCTTTAGAGATGTTTAAGTGTTTAAATACACTAGTGCTAGATTTAATTATTTTAAATACAGTTTTGACAACACTGTAATTCAAACTTAACCACTTCCTGCAAACACTCACTTTCCTTATACCCCCAAAAAAGGTAAGGAGAGAGTGACAGGAGAGCCAACCAGCGGACAGACGATCCATAAAAACATGTGCAGACACATGGCACCATTTAACTTGCCAAAGATCAAACTAACACTTGTAAAAATTTGTTAAAACAAAATTAAACACAAATAAACATAAAACTACCCAAAAGCTGTAATCAGGACAACCATTATAATCCGGGCTATTTGAAGAGATACCAGAGCACTCTCACTGAAGCATAAAAGCCTTTATACCTTAACCTCTTTTCTTAGAGAGTATCAGGCATCTGATGCACCCTGTTCACTACAGGAAAGACACCAAAGACACTAAAGGGCATTTACATACGAACAAAGCATTTCTTCTGAAACATTAAAGGAATAAAACGCAGTCAGTGTACCTTCTCCAATAGGAGCTGGATCTGGTCCTGACTTTTCAAAGTTAATAACAACTCCACTTTGGACTTTTTGAACTAAAGATTCTAAACATTGATTCAACATTCTTTGTGTCCGAACACAGTACGAACGACCTGCAAGAGAGAAATTACATGGGGAAATATAAAAGCAGGTTTTAAGTAATCTTAATTTAGGAAAATGTTCTGTTACCTAAGTCACACTGCCAAGGCTTGCAATTTATTCCAAAATAATAGCAACAAACTGTACAAGCTTATGTAAAAGGCAAAATACTTCTAAAATGCAATACAACTAAGAAAAAAATACCAAAAACCCACAACCTGCTGAGATTTAACTCGTTACTAAAAGAGGCCCCTAGGGCTGTATCAGGCTGGACCAAGGCCAACTTTACAAAGCCCTTAAGACAGCCTGATTTCACCAAGTCTATGCAACCAATCTGCTTTACTCTACCCTAACCTTACCAGCTTCTATGCATACCTGAACCTCCCCCTCCCACACATCATCTTTTTCAAGCACCAGTTAAAAAAAATAAATTCTGATCAACATATCAAGCAACAGACTCCAGATATAATTCTTTTAGGATTAAATTTAGCTTACTAGCCCTGCAGCAGAATTAACATCTCATTAATACCCATCCTGCTCAATTTGACACTTAAATAAGAAAAAAATCAAAATCTCATGATGCAGCAAAGACATCCTCTGGAAGGACAATCTAAGAGATTTTCCTGTCCCTGCTACTGCATTAAGAAAATGCTTTCACATCTAGATATGAAATAGGAATATTGGTTAAAAGTTCTCCTGCGTTACTGGAAACCAAGAAAGCACCACACATTCATATGGGCACTGAGTAAATCAGATGGAAAAACAGGAAGAGGTGAAGTTGAATTAAAGGAAAAGAAATATTTCAAGGCAAATGCCAAATGGGAACCAAAGCAAAAGAGCATGCAGTTACCTCCTGTAACTTCACACATCTGTGTGATAGCAGATTCATCAGTAGGCACACTCCCAAGCTGCTCTGGTTCAGCAGATGCAGCTCCTGGCAAACGCAGCACCAGAGCAAACAGCCTTTGATCCCAACGGAATGGTTCTTTGGTTAATTCACTTCCAGGCAAAGGAGAATTCAACGGAAGATGAAGCTGGTAAAAAAAAAAAAAGATTGAAGAATATTTTCCGGTATTTGACAAACCATCTAAAAACATCACACTCAAATTCCTTCATTTCTCTGTAAAACAGCCATTTCTCTCTGAAATCCCTAATTTATCTGACGTTCTAGTCTCAAAACCTTACGGGACTATGAATTTAGGGGCTGGGCAGCAACAGGACAGTTTCTGTTCTCTATTAAACAGGTCAATGATGCAGAAGTACTGTTAGCAGGAAAAAACCAATATTCATCTCAGCCTAGCACCAACTTGCAAGATCATAACTTGAAAGAACTTAATGCAGGTTTACCTCCTCTTGAACTCCAGCTGTATTTGTCAGTTTATTTCCGTCTGTGATGGTAATCAAAATAGATGGCTCCAAAAAGAACGGATTCCTTCCCTAAAGACAAAAGCACAGGAATGCAAAGAGTAACATTAACACTCAGTTACAGGCTTGTATTTTTGTCACTATAAAATAAACAGTGAGATAAGCAATCTTTCAAAATAACCCTGTAATTTCTTTTAATAGGTTGAGCCACACGGAACTGCACAAGATGGGCTACTCTTGTGTATCTACAGTTGGGGCATTTATACTCTGCTTCTTTGTTCTTCAAAAAGGAAGTATTTTCCAGGGTGTTTTCAGTAGCCATAAGAAAAGAAAAAAAAAAGTTCCCAGTTGAAGTTTTAACACACAGCTATCCAACATTTAAAAAAAAGTAAAATGCAAAACCGAACTTGAATCACCAAAATCCCTCCCCCACTATAATTTCAAAAAACACAGAAAAACAGAAGACAGAAGACTATAAACAGATTTGTTACCTGTCCATAATTGTCTATTCCAGACACTAATCTATTGAGATTTAACAAGTCAAACGAGGACCTGAGTGCCTGACCAAGGGTTGTTAGTCCTGAAGCCTGAAGGTTTTTCAGTTCATTCATAAACGTTGCATGGTTTTCCTTCCATCCAGCCTATTACAGAAAATACAGAAACTTATTAGTTATTCTAGCAACAAACTGCAATCAACTGCAAGTTGCCATTTATCTCTCTTACCACCAAAAATTAGATTAGATTCCTGATTAACAGATGCACTGCATCATTGACAGGCTACACACACCTAATCCATGTATGTACAAACCTGATGTGAAACACAGTTACAACAACAATGGGAGACTCACAAAACACACACACTGCCAAGCACTGGAAGAAATTCTCTAATACCCATCTCTTACTGTGAAAACTGCTGTACAGGTGATTCAGGCAAAGAAGTATTTGGATTTAGCATGTGAATATTTTATTAGAAGAAACTGTCAAATTTGGAAATCAGAAACGCAGCTGCCAAAGTAACAATGGTTAAACAAAGGTACAAGAGGAATAATATCACTGCTTCTTCTGGCACATACCCAACCCCCTTTCATCCTTTCTTCCATAAATTGAGAAAAGGAGTGGCTGCAAAAACCCCATGTAAGACAGAACAGAATCACTGTTTAGATTGCCTCAGTGCAACAGCTTGAAATTTTGTAGGTCCTAAAGTTATTGCTGACTGAGCCTACAGATCAAAGGAACAGCAAGTGGGTGGATCAGTCCAAGCAAGCACTCTGGACCCTGTGGTAAGCAAGGCCAACACACATCAGCATCAGGTGTGATTCACATACCCTCCCCTTAAAAGGTGGTTTGCTGCAGAGTTGGGAAGCTATTTTAGAAAAGACCAGCTCACAGGGAATTGGTGCAGGATTTAAGGTGCCTCACCTAAAACAAGCAAAGCTTAGAAGTCCCAGATATTCACACAACTACCAGCCTTGCTATTACACTGTACTCTCCAAACCATTCCTGCAGTAAGCAAGCAGTTATTTACCCAGGCTCACTATCATCTGGCACCAGAGACATTCCCGTGCTCCATCAGGAATCCCAGCTACGCAGGCATGGAGAGGATCATTTCAGACAGCCTGACTTTTGCTGGGATAACCTCTGAGCAACACATCCTGCAGGTGAAGCCTGTTTTCCCCTGTGCACTGGGCTCAGCAGCCACCTGCTGACTGTGCCAAGCTGTGCAAGAACCTGAGAGGACAAGGTTTTCCTTTACTTTTTTAAGCAGCCATATTCCATTGCCAGCCTTTAGTAAACACTGTGGGCTGTGTAGGTGGTCACAGAATACACATGTTGGAGCTCTAAAAGAGTAGAAGGAAGTAGAAAAGAAAGACATGAGACAATTAGTATCTCTGCTAAGTTGACCAGCCTAAACTGGGTAGGTTTCTTTTCAGAATGAGGAGTTATCCTAAGGAGATACAACAACAAACTTTCCTTGGTCAAGTTTAGCTCCTTAACCAGTTCTTCAAGCTTTAGATTAATGTAAGGGAGACAGAGAGAAAACTCCCCAATGGGGCAAAGGAAAGAACTAACTTTCAGCAGGACTGGTCCAGCTTTATGGTTAAACAGCCCTGAAAGCTCAAAGGAACAGTGTTGTTTTATAGATCGATATTTGTCAATAAAACACCAGCAACACTCACACACAACCACAACTTAACAAAATACATCATCTCATCAGCAACTTCCCACATCTGCTCTCAGCCCAAGGCAAAAATAGAGTGCAAACACAGGGTCACTGTTTTGGAGTAAAAGTGACTTAGTTAACAACCCTTTTTCAGGGTAAAATTGCACCAAACCTCAACAAGATGATTTGTGTTATCCTAGAAACACTTGCCTTAAAACAATTTAAGCAGAACAATTACCAAAATATTTTTGTATTAATTCTATGGACTCTGTAGATGTAGGTGAGACTACTCCCTTTTGCTTGGTAAAAACACCCATCAGCGAGCGAGTCCAGCTTTTGGGAACAGCCAGGCTGGAGTTCAAGAGGTGTTCTCCAGCAAAGACCATTTGAGTTACATTGTTGCAAAAGCACATGGGGGAACAAAACATTTACAAAGGAAACACTATTCCCAGACTGCAAGTCTTGATTTGAACTCTAACGAATTTAAGAGTATTCTTTGTAAAATAAACAGTAAGAGTCTTCGCTGATATTTGGAGATTCTGCTGCTTTCCCGTTGTGAAAATGTTTGCTCAGCTTCCAGCTCCTACTGTGTTTGATCTCACTGCAGTGTGGTCAACTGCCTGCAAAATAAAATATGTACCATTTCCCCAGGCACAACCAGGGAAGCTGAAGGCACAAGGAGCAGCTGATCATCACTGGTTTGCTGTCCAAGAAAACTATTTTTCATCTTACAGCTCTCACAGGATCTTTAAAGATAAAGCCAATGAGAGCTGCACCTTTGAAATAAGCAGAGTAAAACTGAAGAACTTCTCATTAAGAGAACAAGGGCAGCAAACGCGAGATTTCCTAATTCCATACCCAGCTTTAAATAAAGGTCTGACTAGTTAATGCACTACATTTTCTACCTTATCCTCAAAACAAGATTCTTGAACCAAAACCACCAACATCCATGGCAAGAAATTCTACTTCTGTAAAATGTTCTTTTTCCAGAAAGACTCAAGACCACATATATAAAGAATCACATATTTCATGGACAGAAACTCAAGCCCCAAAGAACTCTGTACATTCTCCTCTTCTGCAGAAGGATCATTCTGCAAAACAGAGTCAAGTACCTAACCCAGAGCATATGCATAATGAGTTCAACAAAGCACTTTAAAGTGATTAAATAATAATCCTTCCTAAATTCAAAATACTGCCACTAATGCTGTCAGAAAAAAAAGCACTGCTCTTATGTAGCATTGCTTCCATTTCCCAGCAGAAACACTAATGACCAAAAAAACCACCAAAAAACAAACAAAAAAACCCCACCAACCAAAACCTCACGACCTTAAAGGACCAAACACAAATATATTCCACAAAACTATGTATCCTCTACAGGTCAGTAATCAAGAAGTCAGAACTAAGCATTAGTTATTTTAGTTGTTTATGAACCAATTCTAACATAGAGAGTGGTTTCTCTTAATCTTCAATATTACATTCCTACTTAAGTCACTTTTATGCCCAGAATTTATTAGCAGCAATCTGAGCAGTCTCTGCCTCACCAGTATGTTTCTAACTTCTCCTCTGATGATTTATATGAACAAATAATTTTATCTTCTAAACGCATACTAAAAGAGTTTCAAAGACAGCTGAGGAAAAAAAGAAGTACTAAAAGCAGAAATCTCGCCCTCTTTGCTTATGCCAAGAACAGGCAAAAATGCAGCGTCATTTGGCTTTCTGGGTTGACAACTGCAAGCTCTGGACACCATCCTACAAACCACCCAAAGATCTGGAAGCAGCACACCACCTTCCAGCTTCTGGCTTTGGCCTCTGCAAGAAAATCACACTGAAAAAAAAATAACATACTTAAAAAGTAACATTTTTTTCTGATGACTTAGTTTTCACACAAATCCGTGTCCTGCTCTATTTCATCATACAGCTATGAAGTATTTCAGCTGCCTCAAGAATCAGGCAAGGTCAAAACAGCTTATTTTGGTAGTAGATAGGCCCAGATTAACAAGAATTCAAACAGCAAGGTGAAAAATCTAGTGAAGAAAAGGAGGTCTTCTTTAGACCAACCAGAGCAAGGACTAACCGAACATCAAAAGGAACAGAGTTGAGAAGCAAAAGAAAATCTCATTCAGAATCAGTATCATAAAAAGGCATTCAAGACTTAGAAGAAATAGAAGATTTTAGTTGCAAGAGGCAGAAAGGAGAATCTTAGAAAATGTTGTAGTGGGGGAAAAAAACCCCAAACCACCACTGCACCTTTATCACATGAAAAGGAGCAGCATCAGAGTAAAAATAAAACATTATCAAGTTTTGAATATGTGTAACACATAGGTCTTGTAATCTCAGCTACACTGGCTTAAATGTCATGTTTACTGGTTTTACTGTAGTTTTTTTTGGTTGATTCATTGTTGGTTTGTTCTGGTTTTGACTGGTGTTGTTTTTTTATTTTTTCTTTTATTCCTTCCAACTATTTCTTGGTACAGTCTGGTCAGCCCACAGGGGCAGAGCCAAAGGCTGGGCATTAGAGCACAAGAATTCCAGGTCCAAAGAAGTCCCTCCTAATCAGCTCCAAGAAGTCCAGGGAGCTGGTGCTTTTGAGCCTGCAAGTCTTCATCTTTAGTGCTTCTACAGCTAATGCCAAAAGACAGACCTGTATAGTTTATTGTTCACTGGATTGCTTTCAGATCTGATTCAAAAACTGCAATGTTACTAAAAATAATCTTCCAAGTAAGACAATTTACAATCTTGCAGGGCAATCACAACAGCCTGTGTTACAGTAAGTACACAATATTTATTTAAACATACAGATTTTTAGAGTTCTGCTAATGTTTCCCTAGAAAGAAGAACTGGATCTCAGATATTACCACTTGTTATAGGTATTTAAATTTCTCAATAATTCAAGCTATTATTAAATGCACCCATCTTAGGAAAGCAGACTAGTTCAGGATGCCTGTAGCATCCTGGCTTGTCAGTGACCTCCATTTGAAAAAAATAAGGTAAGAAAAAAAATCCAGCTGTTGAAATCTGAAACCACTCCTGCTACGGAATTTTGAAGTGCTGTGGGAAGACAGTGAAACCAGGAGAGCACTTTGTCTTCCAAATCATCACAATGCTTCATTTTTAAGTTACCTTTCTGTTCACTGTTGACTGTGAACATAACTCAAACCTGCTCATGTTGGTGCCACAGCCGAGCAGGCATTTCTTTTGTAGGGTACTGAATTATTCTTTTGGATTCCCTACAATGCAAGGGGCTGCTTCTCAAATGCCAAAGTGTCTTCGGATCTCCTGAACGCAGCCTCAGCACTGCTCAGTGGGATCTGCAATAGGGAATAACCTCCTATGCAGCCTAGAGCTTCCCTGCCTCAGCTTCAGCAACTTTGGAATAGGAAGCATAGCAAACATAGACTATGTTGGTCACCCCAGTTTTCCTACAACAAATCTTAGCAAAGAGGGAGATGAGCAGAGGTCCTGGTACCATGTGTTCCCCTG